CTGTGACAAATGCAGGCCGCTCACTTAAAGGAGATGCAACTCTGAGCGCGCATGATGATGTAATCATTGAGCATGGATAACGGTGGCTTTAAAAAAAATATAGGTTTATAGGTGAATATATTCGTACAGAGGTGAGTATGTGTGCCGCCATTGGTTAAGCTGCTACATTTAACACGTCAACTTTATCGCCGCTTCGCCTCCACACACACACACACGCACTCACACAGTTGAGCAGGAGCAATTTGGCTGATGATTAATTGTTTTGCTATAATTTAGTTTTAATTTAAGTGGCGGGCAAAGCTTTGAAGATTCACTGCAATAGCTGAAGGAGTAGAGGTTTCACGTCTGTTGCATTCATACGCATTCGGAGCTATAAATTTGTTGTAGTCATTGTAAGCTGAGAACAATGGAATTGTGACTTATGCTAAATACATAGAATTGCCCAATGGAGCTCAGTCAAGCGTTCGTGTGTGACAATAAGCGTCTGCGTCACCTAAATATGCAAATAATATTCAAATTCACCTTGAGCCATAAAGACGTCACATACATATGTTCACATATAATTCTCATATAACCGGACAAATATGAAAGTGAGTCTGCCTGAGCGAAGAGGGTACTTCATTTGGTGAATGCGATTTCCACGAAACGTAACCTCAAGAAACCGCAAAAGCTTATCCAAAAAATCTGTTTTTCTTCAAATGCTTCCCCTACAACACTGCTTCGGAGCGTGAGATACGCCGCTGTGCTTGTGAAGCGCGACTTCATCCTCAGCTGCTTGGATTACTCCAACACTGCGCTCGAGAGTACGAAGGCCACTGGTGGAAAATAGCACCCAACTTCTTTATGGACGTAGGGATGCTTGATTGTATGGACGGCGTGGGAATTTTCCATAGAGAAGTATTCAACGGTCGGAGGTTCCAGTTTTCTGACCACTGTAGTGTTTACCAGGCGGTGGTTCAAGGAAGCAAAGTGTATCTGTAAGGCAGACCAACATTTATTGAAAAAGCTAAACAGCTTTACGGACCTAGGCTTCGGGTAAGCTCCAAAATTGTGATGAAATACTTGTTTTAACTATCGGTGGCGTCGACTTACATGCCAGCTGAAATCATATAGGTACCGGCCGCAGCGGAATAGTGGATAAAACTATTTCGTTAATATCAGACACAGCGCAAATACGGTTCCATAGACAACATGTAGTCTTATTCAGGAGCATTGGGTATTGCGCTAACTTACCGAGGCGTCAGTCAACTTGCGCGATTATCTAAAGTGGGACCGGCGAAAGTGATGAAAGCTACTTTTCCTATCGAGACCGAGGTTTTTGCATACGTGGGACTTTAACAACGTCGTTAGGCACATTTGCAGATTTGTGCCACCGCACTAAGCCCTTCGGTTTGAATGATGAGTGATTTAGCGCTTAACAAAATTCACTTTTTGTGACTGGACTTTACAGCAGACACTGCCAATATGAAGTAGGTACGTTCGACAGAAGTCCAAATATTATTTTAAACGCATCGATATTGAAACACCCTTTAGAGGGTTATAAAGCAAAGATTTAAATTCACATATGGCACAAAGTTCATGCGCATGCGCGCATTGTATTTTCTCATTTGTTGCCAATATATGTATATACATATATATGTATGAGTTTGTACATATGCATATTGTATTGTATGTATGCACAAACGTATGTTAGTTTATTTCGCGTGCACGTCTTTTATTTCGAACATTCACTATCGTTGCACTTTTATCGCTTCACGTGTTAAAGTTTACTCGTACACTAAATGAATTGATGGGCAATTTAACAAATTACTACAATGTGCACTCGATCTGTAGTGTCTTCCCACAACAACGTCTTCCCGTTCCATGCCGTCCGCTGCTGTTAAATTGGCTGCTAATGTGCGAAAATTTACAAGTGATCAAAAAAAAAAAAATAACAAAGTCGATAGGTACTCGTAGTTGATCGCTGGCGATATTTTGTATTAATCAGAGTGCAACATGAAACAAACACACACACACACACACATGTGTGTGTGTACATATGTATGTATGTACGTAGTTTTATTAAACGTGTGATTTTTGTATTGATTATTATTATTTTTATTAATTAAATTCCATAATTGCGGAAATGATATGGAAAATACGATTACACTTGCAATCGATTGTTCATTAGCAATCAGAAGTTGTTGTTATTTTTTTGTTTTGTTTTTCTCAAAATTAAATATGCAAAAAATTGTAAAGTGAATGTGCTGCTTGTTATATTACATTTATGCACAAAAAAAATTTTCATAAATTAAAAATTCAATTATTACAATTTTACATAAAAATTTGTTGCTCATTATTTTGTTGCACATACACGTATACGTATGTATATGCATTTCAGTTGCAATAATAACCAACGAAGGTATGTTTATGCTCAACAACTGCAGTTTGTGGTTATAAATATGAAATTAACAATCAGTAGCGGATAATTGGTTTGTAAAAGGGATATCAGTTGACCTTCGATAACGAATGCCCACAATGGGACGAGTACTCGTATGTTGCTCATAGTTGCTATTGTGAACTATTAAGTAAGAATGATTTGGCAGTTTTATGCAAAATTTTTGCTTTCTGTGAAATATTTGCATTTATTATTAATTTCATTACTAATTTGTTCCGCAGCATTAATTAAGTTAATCGAATGTGTTAAATATATCTTACAATCAATAACTGGCTTCATAATTATCTAAATATGTATGTATGTTCATACATATAAGTGCATAAAATTTTCTTCGAGTATTTCTTAAATTTTTAGTGGTTGGAGTGCATTTTATTTCTATAGCATTGCTAAAATTTTGTGTTTAAGAAGGTAATGAGTATTTAATAGTTTAAAAACATCAAATGTAGGCGGCGGCGTTGAAATGGAGTACTTAAGGTTTGCCAAACGATGAGTTGAGTTATTGCGGCTGCTGATTAGAGCGACCGCCGTACTATGCCTGAAGGCATTTTATGCTGCGATATTGCATGTAATAACTGCTGCTACGTCAATCCGGCAAGCAAATTTTCTAGAATGTGTATGTGCATATGCCGTATAGTGCTTAGTGCTATCCAATCCAACATCTTCAAATGCTTGCCAACAATCGAATGAAAAAGCTGCACCTATTATGTAATAAATCTTTTTTAAATTTGCATAAAATTGAGATGCACATGAAATAGTTTCCAAGCAAATAAGGCATTTTACAGCATAACCTAAAATACTTGTAATTATCGCAATAATTCAGCAAAAAAAAAAAAAATAAGACAAATTGTAGGCAATCAAAATAATCATAATCAATTTAAAATAATGCAACCATGCTGCAAGTACTAACCAACAGTAAACAAAAAACCTTGATCAAAGTTATTAATGCAATCAAACAATTAACCAAAAGTGCATATGTACATTAATATATTATGTAGCATTGTTATATGTATTGTGATGTTCTGTAGAACACAAATTAGATTTGTTTTCATTTGTTACATTCTCCAAAAAGTGCAAAGACTACACAAATAAAATATCAGCACAATCATACATGCATATCTATGTATGTTTGTCTGTACACACACTCAATTACTTGTATGTGATTGCTGTCAAGGGTCTGCTGTTAGACGCGCTCTTATTGCACTTGCTGTTGTTGTTTTTCGTTGCACGCGTACTCACAGCATAATTGGTTGCTACAAACAGCGATTTTTATTCATGTTCATTATCAACTTATTTATTATGGTGACAGCCGCCAACTACTGCCAGCAACCACCAACTGCGAACCGCTCACTCCTTTGTTTGTTTACCTTTTACTAACTAATCATGCCATAATACACTATTATTATTTAAAAACTTGTAAAAATGTGTAGAATATATATATATATATTTTTTTTTTGGTATTTACAATAATTATTTTTATTACATTTGCAATTACGGCAAGGTTGCAATAGACAGACGGATTAACATGTGTTTGAGTGTCATTGTAGGCGCCAAAAATTACACTTTAGAAGGGAATGACACTTGGCATAGTTGTTGAACGGTGAGTATTGTTAAACATGGGTTTTTTATTTTTTATTGGAAAAATTACGTATACATACAATATTAAACTATTAGTTTAAAGACCAAAAAAGTATATATGTATATATACACAAACATATTGTCTAAGCATTGTTTAAAGTGGAAAATAATTTATTTTATACGCGCTTAGTTAAAAAAAATATATATATAACGTTAATAATTAAATTCAGTTAACGACGTTTTATGTAGGAAAAATATGGCGAAACTCAAAATGAAAAGAATTTTTAGTGATGTATACTAAAAAATGAATGTGTAAAATATGTAAAACATGTAGCGGCACTTAAAACAATGTCATATTATCTTCAAGTTGCAAGCAAAAATTAATGTTTTAATTTTTTTTGTTGATTTTTCAGTAATTTGTTAATTAATTTTGGAATGTGCTCCAATTGGTACCCAGTTTTTTGCCTCTTTGTTCATATAAGTCAAATAACAAGAGGTCAAACAAAGTATGATTCTAACAATTAACCGCAAAAGCCATAAGTAGATTAATATTAATTTACAATTGCATGAGAAAGATGGAATTTTTAATCTAATTTAAAAAAATTATTTTATAATAATAAACGAATAAATAATAATTTATTTATTTATATTCAAACTCTTAATATTGAGTATTAATAAGATATATACTATTTATTAAGGAAGCAAATGGAATGTTGGTGGTTATTATTGTTGTGGCATTATATTTTATATATATAAATTTTTTTATTTTATTATCCTTTTATGTTTAGTTCAGGTATTACTGCATTTATTTACACTTTTTGATGGCAATGAACCATAATATATAACGTACTCAGTTTTCAGTTCCGTTTACACGTCCGTTTTCTTCATTTCCGTTTCCCATTTTCTCAATGCTGGCAATGCTGACTATAACCAAATGTCACATTATCTGCTCTTCTATTCTTTTTACACATTTTCGTAGCGGTATTTTTTTTTATTCACAGCTGTCTTTCACTCGCATCCAGAAAGGTAACATCTAAATTGTACATATCTCATAAAATCTATATTTTTTATAATTTAATTAACTTGTTGCAGTTTTTGTTTGGTGAATTCACATCCGGCAAATAGTTCAATATGTTTTCTTTGGCTCGTACTGCTACCAACGCCGCAAAGTAAGTACGTTTTGTATGTATGAAAATAAAGTCGGCTGCTGTTCGGAAGGGCCTCGCATAATTTATTGATTACATAAAGCCGGTAGCGTAAATCAATTTTTGCAAATCATTAAATATTTTCTTTTTTCTTACACAAATACACAGAACGGCTGTGCGTGGTAAACATGATTTACCCAAGCTACCTTACGACTATGCCGCTTTGGAACCGATCATCTGCCGTGAAATTATGGAATTGCACCATCAAAAACATCATCAAACTTATGTCAACAACTTGAATGCTGCTGAAGAGCAACTCGCCGAGGCACAGCAAAAGAAAGATGTGACCAAGATTATTGCACTTGCGCCAGCACTACGTTTCAATGGTGGCGGTCATATCAATCATTCGATTTTCTGGCATAATCTATCGCCAGAAAAATCACAACCATCCAAAGAGTTGTTGTGCGCCGTTGAGGAGCAATTCGGCAGCTTAGATGCTCTGAAGAAGGAATTGACCACATTGACTGTGGCCGTACAGGGTTCCGGTTGGGGTTGGTTGGGTTATAATAAGAAAACCAACAAATTGCAATTGGCCGCCTTGCCCAATCAAGATCCATTGGAGGGTAGCACAGGTGGGTGAAAAAAAGGAAACCAAAAAAAAAAAAAAAATCAAAATTAAAATTTCTTGCGTGCGTATTTAAAGTAAACAAATTTTATAAATTTCTTTCGTACGACAGGTCTCGTGCCACTTTTCGGCATTGACGTATGGGAGCATGCCTACTACTTGCAATACAAAAATGTGCGCCCATCATACGTTGAAGCTATCTGGGATATCGCTAACTGGAAGGATATCTCCAATCGTTTTGCTGCCGCCTCTAAGTAATGTTTAGAAGCATACCAGTTAGTCATTTATCTGTATCACTTCGTAAATTGTGTGCCCTTTGAAACTTTAAGTGATTTGGAGAGAGCAACTTATAAAATAAGTGTCGTCAAGAGCAACTGGTGCGATAGTTGGATTTTTCGAAACACTCACTGTCCAACGCTTTTAGTTTTGTTATATTTGTTTATGCATTAGTTTTTGTTTAATATATAATATTAGCATGGCGCGTAATGTGCGTAGACATATATTAAATATAAATTGTAATAAATAACCTTATAAATTGCTAGAATGAAGCTAAGAGCGTTGCATTAATTTTATCAAGTGGTCTAACGAATTAAAGCACTTGGACTATGCTTTTGATACTTGCAAGATTTATGGCGTTAATTTTTTTTGAATAAAGCTGACTCAACTAAGCCGTGTACTTTCCTTGCAACGGAACATTATGAAAAATATATTCTATAGCCGAGTCGGTAGCAGAGTGATTGAGTCGTACTGTCATTCGGAAGGCCTGATACGACTAATGTCCAAAAGTTATAGAAAAATATTTAAAATAAAATTTTCTTATTGCGGTCGGCCCTCGGCAGAGAATGTCAAACCCTTCCAGTGTATTTCAGGCATGAAATAAAAGAACCTTTTAAAAACGCATCAGACTTGCGGAGGCGGCTGTGTATAAACTCTAGGTGCCTCCATTTGTTTCAAAAACATCAAGACGCAACACCAGAAATTAGAAGAGGACCTCGATTGAAAGTCTTTTCAGCGGTTGCAAAGCGCCAATTATATATGAAAAGCAGCAACAATAAGGAAGAAGTCGATTAATAACGAACGGAACTAAACGGAACTCAACTAATAGCTATGTGAGATCATTTTGTGTTTAAACGTAAGCATTTACGTCACTCTGTGACAATTCAATTGACCCTCAGCTAAATAAATCTGGCATTACTGTTTCCATTCCTCAAATGTTGTTTTGACATTCCTGCATTTACGCTCATTCGCATCTGTCAATCCAATTTAGTGTTTATGATGAATCACAAGAATTAAAACAAAACTAGAAAAGTTTCGGCAGTATTTTCCAATCAGCTGGTTAGTATTGTGTTTAAGAAAAAGGAAAAACAAATTTAAGCTGTTATTAGAAGAGGGGCAAATTGCAGTAATTGGAAAAATCGAGGTGGCGCAAACGAAGTTGGAACTTGCGCTGTAGCGGCAGCGGAAAATTGCTTTGTACGTTTCGCAGGCGCAGGCAATAAAGCAACAAAGATTATAACGAAAACGATTTCCACCAGACAACTGGCTGGACAATTTCCATGACCGATGAATAAGTGAATTTTCCTGTCGCCGTACGAAGCAGACGAAGTTTTCTAGCCTGCCCGTCCACTACGACTATAAATGCTACGCAACATTTGGGAAAAAATTTATTAAGTAAAAAGTTTGAAAGTTTTAAGAAAAAAAAAGGAAATTGTATTATGTGTAAAACGTAAAACGAACTCTGTCCACGAAATATCAAAGTGTGCTTGAGGGTGGTAAACTAAGTAAATTGAAAGAAAAATAAATAAACTTGGACTGTTTTGAAAGTGTCTGTCTGAAATTACTTTACAGTGCTCGCTTCCTAATAAATTGTTAAAAGCTTCTGTAAGCGTTTCACATAGTGTGCGGTAATTAAATTAATTTGCTGTTTTTACGGTAAGTGTTGCTGGCATATTTATGGCTAAAAATCTAATTTCTCAGATTTTTTTTTTAAAATGTGTGTTTTGTTGAAAAATCGGTGCGTCTGAGAATCGGTGAAAAATCAATTTTTCGCAAGGTGGTTCAATGCTGTGCTTGCCAACACACACACACACACACATAGATCCATAAACTCATGTACTAAAGTGTTGTTGCATGTGTGTGGGATGTATGACAGCTGTTTGACATCCACAATTCATAGTCCACATGATTCATTGAAAGGCGCAGGAAAAAAGGACGACTGACTGTAAATTTGTTTTTATTTTTTATTGCTGTCCGTTAAAGTTTTTTTTTAATTTTTATAAATAATATTTCAAAGATTTGGAAATTTATTTGTGTCTTATATCAAGTTTACTTATCTCGGTTGTTAAAAAGACCGTTAAAAAAACTACAAACGTTACTGTAAGAAGCGGTCGGCTTTGTCTCCGCAATTGTGTTGCATAGCTACGAATACTCTTGATATCGTCTGCGAATCGACTACATAGTGAGACCTCTATGTTACTTTAAGTCTAACGGAGTTAGGTAGTCACTGCACCACATCTACAACCAGGGAAATCCTCGGCTACCCTCCTCACCAGCTTAGCGAAGAAGTACTGGTTAGTAGCTAGGATGCTACCGCTTGTAGCAGAACCTCTTCGCAGGCATAACATGAAGATAGTACTGGAGTATTTGAACTATATTAAAAAATATATTACCCAACTGCTGGACACGACATACCGAAAAGCTGGATAAAGGACTTAAACGTCATTCACAGAAAAAGTCAGTCAACACTTTCCACAATTCGCTTCCAGTGAATGGCGTTATCGGAATCCAAAAATCTTCATAGTGGACAAAGAGCTCGAACTGTCCCGTAAGAACCGAGTAACCTTTGTGCAATTAAGATGTGAATATTGTGACAACGTATATAGGAAAGACTAGCATATAAAGAGTCACTGTTCGACATTAACCTCTAAAACCTATTGCTTTTATAGTAGCGAACACCCCACCCAGAAACAGTCTATGTCATCGAATTCATCTAACGAAAGTTCTAGGGGACAAGATGCTTCGAACCAAAGAGAGAGGGGTGTTAGATGGGAGGTTTTTGGAGGTGGGGTAGTATGAGATTATCGGACGGCATGTCACTCCGTTCGACAGTAGATAATTTACATTGAGCGTATGGACCGAACAGGTCTTAAGATGACTTTAATCATTACATTGTTTGCATCTAAACGGAAGAGTTGTCTTTGGTATACGACGCAGAAATATTCCATCAGACCGGGGTTGGGTTGATGGCGACTACAAGATACGCACTACGAATTGAAGGCATGTGTTTTCAATGTTCAGTGGTTTGATTAAGAAATTGCTTCTGTTGTTGTTGTTGTAACCGCAAAAATACTCGCCAAAGTACTTTTTGGGGAATGTTGCGGAAGTGACAACCCTTAGCCGGATAAAAATCCGAGTCGTTCCGGTATAAAGATCTGACAGTCGCGGGTACAATTGCATTATAGTCGCCTCTTACGACAGGCATGCCTTACCACGGGAAAATTCTTGAACCCCTAACCCGTAAGGTACTAGTGGAGGACAAGTCAGGACATCGTACTCGAAGTGGAAAATTTTACCTAAATATATGTATGTATATGCCTAAAGATATTATTTAAACAACAAATTGAACGAATAATCATCAAAACATGAAGTTTATCTATAAAGATTATATATTGTATTTACACATTTATCTTATTTACTTATCCACTTAACTAAAATCACTGAGCACTTAAACAGCTGGTGTCAATTATCGATTTGCGACTGATAATTGGAATTCGCAATGCTCGAAACAGCGTGCACTTGTCGCATCAGTCTATTAATGGCACAGGGTGATTTATTGATTGATGAGCTGTGTGATTGAACAGATTTCAGGCAATAGGAAATTGTTGGTATTGTGGAGCGGGAGATGTTAAAAGTTTACTATGAACAAATTTGTTCGTGATTTGGAAAATATTTCATGAGTAATGAGAGGAAAAAATTAGTTTAGGGAATTAAATATTCGAATGAACTAATATTTATTAACTAATACTTATTTATTTTAATTCATTTTACCTTTGTTTATTTTATTTCATTTTTTTTCTCTTATTTATTTTATTTATACGTTTTTTAATTATTTTGCATGTAATTAATTTGACATCTAATTAAGTTTTGCTTTCATTTTGAGTGATCCGCTGTGCGTGTTAACCACGCATCATTCGATTTTCGATTAATTTCGTTGACATCTATAACATATGCGTGGGATTTCTTTGTGCTGCTCACACTTTTTCACCTTCCTATTTTCGCGTATGAAAGTTTAATTAAAATCTGGAAATATATTTATGCAATTCCTGTGCGAAAATGTGAGTGAAACGGGTGGATATCGAGCTGAAAGTATTGAAAATGTGAACGGCCTACACAAGAAACATTTATCCGAACAAAGCTTGTGTACAACAGCACCAGCAACGTACAGCTTAAAATAACGGCGGTGGCAACAGCGGAAGAGAGAAAATTTTCCATTTCCGAACTTTTACAAGTAACCGCAAAAAGTTAAAAAGAAAATTACAGAAATGTAATGAAAAAAGAGTGCAAATAAGTTTAAGAAATAAAAAGAAAAAAGGGGATGGGTGGATATACAAATACATATACATACATATAAAAAAGGAAACAACGTGCTATGCAGCAAACAGCCAATCGCATCATATATCAAACGCGTATCACAGCTTAAGAGATAGAATCAAAGAACACAAGCAACAATTTGTGAAGGAATCATTGCCGTAAGTGGCCAACCAGCTGACTAAGCTCTGAAATAGGTGGTTTGATATGCAATAATTGCGCTAATGGAAAAAATAATTGTATTGTGAACAAAGTAAGGGGCTATTCATTTTGCGGTTTCGAAAGTAAATGTACACAAAATGTGGTTTAAATAATTTTTTTCATAAAAATATTATTTTTATTATAAAGTTTGAACTTTGGAATTACATCACTTAAAGGGCGGCTTCGTCACTTTTTGTCAACTTTGATCCGTTTAAGGTAATTTTCGAACACTTTTTAGCACATATTCAGCCACAACTTGACGATTTTTGTTCTTCAAGTGCTCGATTTTTGCTAAGAATTTTGCTTGCATAAAATTGTTCTTTCGCATAGTTCCATAAAAAATGTGCAATAGTTTCAAATCGCACGATATCGATGTCCAAGTCGTGTTCTTAAATTGCAGGCAAAAAAAGTCGTCTGTCATGGGACCATAACGCTCCGAATTGACAGTGACAGTATTGCCATAGTCGTTTTTTTAAATAGGAAGGCTCAAAGAACGCAATAGACAGTCAGCTTTTTGTTTTGTAATGACAACGCTACAATTATTTGGATATTATCGGAGCCCCAAATGTGACAATTTTGCTTATTTACGTATACCCCGAGTAAGAAATGGTCCTCGTCGCTGAAGACAATTTTACACAAACGATCGCCGTCCATTGCTTATTTTTCCAGCTTTCACTCAATCGACGTTTGTGCGGCATTGTGAATGGTTAGCTGGCTTCACTTATTGTGTGAGCCCAAGTACCATAAGAAAGTCCAAGCTCACAC